ATATATATATATTAAATTGGATAAAGATGTGGATAAACTTATAGTTATATTACTACTACTATATTTCTAAGAAAATATTATTTGAATGTATATTTAATGAAAATATGAGAGAAAAACTCAAAAAATTTGTATTATAATAATACAAAATAAATTAAATTTTTGTCGAAAACCATAGCATATGTATTTAAGTTTTAGATAAAATTATGGTTATCTTAATTAATATTAATCACAAAAAAAAAAAGCCGCCAATGCAATTAAAAGATTCTTATGAGGACTAAGGTATCAAATGGTTCTATTGAAGACAAAATGCTTTGAAAGTTACTTTATTCAAATAAGACAATCACAAATTTTCAATTAATAAGTTAGTACTTTGGTGCTAATCACACCCATAGGACCAGTCTTTTAGAAAAAAATTAATTTATTATATCACTACTAGTATTTAATCCATGATTAAATTTTAATTTATTTTATTTAAAAAAGTCAAAATAATTATTTATATATAATTATTTTGTTTAAAGGATATTAATTAAAAAAAATGTAAAATAGCAACAAATAATTTTTTTTTTTTTTGTCAAAAAGCAATTTTTTTTTAATTCTAAAAAAAAATTATGTAGCCACTAATAAGTGATGAATTCTAACTTCAAATGGGTCAAATGTGCATGAACAAGACAAAACTTATTTTATATATTTTTATTCTACCATTTGTAGCTTTAAACCACCCCTCCCTATCAATTAAATGTATGATGCCATCTTTAGCATATTGATTTCATGTATATTATAATAGGATTATGACATTGAAGGAAAAAAAATGAAGCTCATCCTTGATGATGGGAGAGGACTGTACCTTCTTCGAAAGAAGTACAAAATAATATATGATTTTTATGTAATATATATATATATATATAATATAATATGAAAAGTGATGAACGAAAGTGTCACTCTTGACTTGTCTAAATTTCAAAGCAAGATTACTTTGTTACCCTCATAGTTAATTGTGCCAATTCAGACAAACCCTGAGTCATTATGGCCTACTTTCTATCAAGCATGATCATAGGACTAACCTTCCTTATCCGATCAAACTTGATCAATATAAAATCAGTTGATCATAACGGATTTGTGACCCATATGATCAATCAATTAAGATCACAAGTTTATTAGAGACCCGAAGACCCAAAATCATATCATCAAACTCGAACAATGTAGCGTTAATTGGCATAAAATAAAGGCTTAACTCATTTGGTTGACTTGTTGGGTATTTTGATGTATTTGTGATCCAATTCCTACATTCAACGTTCAACATACCTTAAAAAAAAAGTTTACTCTACTAGATGACTTGGTATGTTCAATTTTTTTAGAAGGATTCACTTTCCTTTTATATTCAACTGGCCTATCAAGCAAAAATAAATTACTCGCCATAATTATATATTTCATTTGTTGTCACTTACTAAGGCAAAAGTTTTTTAAGCAATGGCATTAGTAAAATATATAATTTCGAGTTGGAATCTTATCCTTCTCCATATTCCATTTTAATTTGGACTGAATATTTGGGCTTTTCTTCATTAACATTTTTGGGCCTTCCTTCTGTTAGTTTTTTTAGGGGAGAAGCTTTTATATGTTAAAACAATTTGGCAATATAGATCTTTAGGTGGGCCTAATTATTATTTTCTTAAAAATTCTTTTTTTTTTCCTTTCAATATGTAGAATCATCAAATATTAAAATAGCAACATAATAAGTATCTACAATATTAAACATTCTAGGGGTCTTTTGGAATAATGATTTTCTCATAAATTTAGTTTAGAGGTATTTTGGTTAGAATATAAAGCATTTAGGAAAATGTACATACATAACACATAATTCCTATGTATTAACATGTCCAATAATTAAATTTTAATATTTATATTTATGTTGCTTTGGTGTTAAAATCTATATATGAATATGTAAATTTTATGTTTAAGGAAATGCAATAAGAATGTGATAATAGTAAGTTTTTTTTATGTAATATTAAAAAAAATTGAGTGTTAAGGACATAAACATAAATGTTTAGATGTTAGTTTTGTTTTTTTCTCTTAGTTCAATAATAAATAAAAAAATTAATAAAAAAATTATAAATAAAATTGTATATAATTCAAAACTTTATTATTTCAATTCTATTTTTCATTTAAATGTATAATAAAAATATTTTTTTTATATTAATTTTAGTGTCTTTGAGCCCATTCTCATTGGTTCTTAGTGACCTCCAACTAATTAGACTTGCACAAACCATATCTAATTTGAACACAAACATTAGACTCTTAATAAAGAGTATTATCGAATAGGCTCAGAATATAGTTAAGCTTAGGAGCTTATTAAAATAAACAAACAATTAAAATTAATACATTCAATGTGTCTTTCATTATTCCTCACAAACTATCAAATATATTAATTATATTGTATTTATCTTCTATTATTATGCTAAAAGTAATGTTTAAAGGCCACACTTCTTTATAAAGGCTATCTTAACTTATGAGAAAAGTGTGCTATGATCCATATTTTTTTTTAACTTATATTATCAGTGGTATTAAAATATGTAAAATAAGTCAGAAAATAATTTCCTAAATTTCTAAGGTTCTATGTTTGGCTACAAAAAGAATGCACAACATTCATTTCGTTAGGGTTTTGCATGTCTAGACATTTGATCAAAAAAATTCCAAATGCCAAGTAAATTTTCAATGCATTTGAAATTTAATTATTAGTTCAATTTGAATGTATTATAAATATAAACTAGGTGAATCCAAATACATAATTCAATCAATCCCTTACCACCTCTAACCGTCAACACCTCCACCACCCCATTATTGCAGTCGTTGGTTATTGTCCTCATGGGCCGCCATCAATGGCCAGCCCATCTTCATAAGCAACAATTTGTGGCCCATTGGTCACGACCACTTATTATTCTACTCTTTGCCACCGATCATTATGAATTGTCTATATAATATTTTATATAATTTTAATTTTACTTCAAATCAATTAAATGAGATATTTACAAAATAACACATAATTTTTATTTATTTACAAAAATCATATCTAAACTTTTATGTTTATGTACAACACTCAAAATCTTTAATATAACAATAAAATTAAAAAAACTTCAAAAACTAAAATGTTAAAAAAAAAGAAAACTAAAAGGTTACACACACACAAACATATACATACATACATATATATATATATATATATATATATA